TCTTAGATTTTGTGAAAAATAAAATGCATACGTAGTAGTAATAGCTTAATGGTTAACGTAGCGTTTGCTGTCTGCCAGGCACTGTTCTAAATGATTTACATATATTAACTCATTTAATTCTCAAAACAATCTACAAGATTACCAACCAATAACTGTTTGCTGTCAAGTGCACACCAACTCATGGCAACCCCATGTGTGTCGAAGTAGAACTGTACTCCATAGGGTTTCAAATGGCTGAAGTAAATCACCAGGCTTTTCTTCCGAGCTGCCCTTGGATGAACTAGAACTGCTAACCTCTTGATTAGCAGGTGAGTGTTTGCACCACTCAGGGACTCCCTAGTTATTTTAATTTTTGCATATTTCTTTGCCAGTCTTTTTCCATAATCATTCATATTTAATTAGTTGTAATTATAATCTACAAGCAATATATAATCAGATTTTTTTTTACTTACCATTATCCCAAATATCTTTCCATGTTTTCATATATCTCTCAAATGCTGTATTTGAAATATGTTGCATAATATTCCATTCTATAAAATCATGAATTATAGTTTTGGAAGTGTCTTAGTTATATGGTGCTTCTATAACAGAAATACCACAAGTGGATGACTTTAACAAAGAGAAATTTATTCTTTCACAGTCCAGGAGACTAGAAGTCTGAATTCAGGATGCTAGCTTCAGGGGAAGGCTTTCTTTCTGTCTTTGCTCTGGTGGAAGGTCCTTGTCATCAATCTTCCCTTGGTTCTAGGAGTTTCTCAGCACAGGGACCTCAGGTCCAAAGGACGCCTTCCCTTTCTGGTTCTTCATCTTTGGTGGTAGGTGGTCCCTCTGTCTCTTTGCTCACTTCTCTCTTTTATATCTCAAATTTGATTGACTCGATTTTTCGAGATAACAACCTAATCTTTAGATTGAGTCTAGCCTCATTAACATAACTGCTTCTAAGTCTGCTTCATTAACTTTATAGAGGTAGGATTTACAACACATAGGATAATCACATCAGATGACAAAATAGTGGACAATCACACAATACTGGGAATCATGGCCTAGCCAAGTTGATACACATTTTTGGGAGACACAATCCATAACATTCCACCCTTTGGCCCCCAAAATTCATGTCCTTGCCACGTGTAAAACACATTCACCCAATCATATCATAGCAGAAGTCTTAATTCAACTCCAAGTCCAAAATCCAAAAATTCCTCTTCATCTGTGAAATCTAGAATACAAGTTCTTCTGCTTCCAAAGTACAATGGTGGAACAGGAACAAGGGAGACATTTCCATTACAAACAGGAGAAATTGGAAGGAAAGAAGCAATAACAGGTACAAGCAAGTCAGCAGAACACATTACGTTCACTTTCCAGGCTTGAAAGTAATCCTCTGTTCTCTGAGACCATTTAGGCAATGGCTGTGCCCTCCAGACTCTGAGTATTGGCCAACTCTCCAGATTCTGGGTGGGGGCCCCTCAGCCCTGGGCTTCAGCTCTGGTTTCCAGGCCCAGTAGAACAGCAACTCTGCTCCCATGCATTTGGGTGGCCCTATTCTCATAGTCCACCAGAGTAGCAACTCCATCCTTTGGTCCCAGCAGGCCCAGTTCTTCAGCCCGTTGGGCATGGCAGCCCCACCCCCTCAGCTCTGGGCATCAGTTCTGGCCCTATCCCACTGGCACTCATGAAAGGCAGCCCCACACTCCAGAACTGAGTTGGTGAAGATCTGATTCTTTGAAACCTATGAGGCTGTGGCCCAACCCTTTGAAACCCCAGAGGCCATGGCTCCACCCTTTGAGACCCCAGGAGTTGTGGCCCTACCCTTTGGTACTGAGACAGCTTTGCTTCCTGTGTTCCTTGTCTCTTCAGCTTCTGCTTCCTGGTTCCTTGGCCTCCTTGGCCCCTTGAGCCCTTGGGCCGGCCTGTCTTCTGCCCTGCTTGGGTAAGTGTTTCAAAGCTCTTTAACTCTACTGATAAGTGCCTGGAGGCACCCTACTCTACCAGTAAACCTCAGCTGGAAGGCACTCAGCACTCTTGCTCCATGGGTTGGCAAGCCTAGCTCCATCAATAAGTGCCCAGAGGCACCCCCCTCTGGCAGGAAGCCACCTGCACAAAGGCATTCAGCTCTCTCGCTCCATGGTTCGGCTCCAGCACTGTCCTGTGCTGGTCTCCTTGTTCCGCTGCTGCTGTTTCTCTGCTGCTGCTTCTCACTGTCTGTGCCATCTCCAGTGTAACAGCTCTCTTCACTTCCTTCTGAGTCCTCACCAGAATTGTCTTTGATGTCCATAATTCCAGTAACAGTCTCTTCAAGGCAATCTAGGCTTTTACTATTAGGCACTTTAAAACTCTTCCAGTCCCTACCCATTCACAGTTTCAAAACTGCTTCCACATTTTAGGTATCTGTTAGAGCTGCACCCCCCTCTCCTGGTGCCAAATTCTTAGTTATCTAGTGCTGCTATAACAGAAATACTGCAAATGGATGGCTTTAATAAAGAGAAATTTATTCTCTCAGTCTAGGAGACTAGAAGTCCAAATTCAGGGTGCCAGCTTCAGGGGAAGGTTTTCTCTCTCTGTTTGCTCTCATGGAAGGTCCTTGTCATCAATCTTGTCTTGAGTCTAGGAGTTTCTCAGCTTAGGGACCCCAGGTCCAAAGGATGCGGTCCCCTCCTGTTTCTTCATTTTTGGTGGTACATGGTCCCTCTGTCTCTCTGCTCACTTCTCTCTTTCATATCTCAAAATTGATTGACTCAAGATACAACCTAATATTTAGATTGAGTCCTGCCTCATTAACATAACCAAGCCAAACTCATTGCCAATGAGTCAATTCGACTCATAGCAACTCTGTAGGACAGAGTAGAATTGCCCCATATGGTTTCTAAGGAGGGACTAGTGAATTCAAACTGCTGACCTTTTGGTTAGCAGCGGAGCTCTTAACCATTGTGCTACCAGGGCTCCAAACTACCTGTAATCCTGCCTTATTAACATCATAGAGGTAGGTTTTACAACACATAAGAAAATCACATCAGGTGACAAAATGGTGGGCAATCACATAATACTGGGAATCATGGCCTAGCCAAGCTGACACACGTTTTGGAGGGATGCAATTTAATCCATACCAGGAAGGAATTTCTCTACTTTTGGATAAGAAAGCCACTTCTTGGAAACCCTATGGGGCAGTTCTACCTGTCCTGTAGGGTCGCTATGAGTTGGCATCAACTCGCTGGCAATGGGTTTGGTTTTTTTTGGTATCTCTATAACCATTGAACAGAACTGTGACCTCCACATGGGGCCTCATTTCTTTGGATTTAGTAACCATCGGTACTAACCATCTGAGTGTGCACTTGACAGGTTCACATGGCTGCCTGGGACCTTCCTTCATACATCTGCTAATTGTGCCAATTAATGGCTAGAGACCACTTTCAGGCCACTAAAACTACTAGCTTGTACTCTAAACCCTGGAATGGCTCCTTCCCATTTCCTAAGTTTTCTGTTTTTAGGATAATGCCATAATTACTTAGGAGCCAGGGAAGCCCCTGAACTCCAGAAATGATAGACTCACCAAAGGATTGTTTGAACTAGATTGAACCTTGAAAACCTTCAGATTTACAAGACTTTCAGTGGTTTGGGAGACTGCCTAGGGTTCCTATCGGTTTGAATAGGGTTCTCAAGGCCTTCCATGGTGTGATGCCAGCCTACCAATCCATTGTTAATTGCCATTGCTTCTCAATATATCACCTCTACTACACTCAGACCAGATTCTTCTCTGGCCCAGGAAGATGTGATGGTTATATTCTACTCCTGGCCTTCACTCAAGTTGCTTCCTCACTCTCTGCCTTTTCAAACCCTACCTCTCCTTTAAGACTCTACACTACTCTCAGTTCCTCCATGTTGTTGACTCTGACTTCCCAACTTACTCTGCCTCTGCTAACTCCTATAGTACCTGTAGTCTGTATTCCAGTACTTGGCACATAATTAATTATAAGATTTCTGGTATTGTTTGCTTTTAAATGTTTACTTCTTGAAAATAATTGTACTCTCCTTGAGGACTTTCTCCCTAGATCCCTTTTCTCCTACGTCATATTTTACCCCAAGGTCCCTGATCCTAGCTTTAGTGCTGACCCCTTTGCTGGAGCTTAGTACATCTAATATAACTTATCAAATCAAAATATATGTGCTCAATGATGCAGTGTCACATTGTTTTAGCTGTTCTTCTCTTACGTATTTCCTACATAAATGCTCACATTAAAAAATTACTGAGGATATTATTAAACTACTCATAAATGGGATATACTCAAATATTTTCTATACGGTCACTGTGTTAGGGCTATGAGAACATGTTAATACTGGAAAAGCGTAATCTGGTCACTTTATTTCTAAGTATTTGAAATGCACCAGGGTGGGAAGGATGATTGGTTGAGGGGGCTGGGGGATGAAGAGTAATAAGAAGAACTGGAATATCCATCTTATCTTTGAGAGAGCTGGTGTCTTAGGCCCTGGGAACAGTGCTTGAATTGTGGTAGAATGATATGCTCTGCTATTCTGTTTCTTGAAAAATTGGTCCCACTATGTTTATTTCCCACTTTAAATACTGATTGGGTCAATGTTCTGATTGTCAGGAGTCTTCAGGGGGAAGCCACCCCCAGTTCACCCCGGAACTAGAGTTTCCCCTGTTTTCTAAGGGACAGCCTGGCACAGTGGGAACCCTCTGGCTGGGAGTCAGGAGCTTTCCTGCTGGACTAACTCTGCTACCACCTGCTGTACTACTCTGCACAAGCTCAGCCTGGGCACACACGTTTATAAAATGAAGTACACCTTAACTACATGATCTCTATCCAGGGTTTTCTCTAACTATGAGATTAAAAACAAAATAGTCGAAACTCTCCGAAGAGGGCAAGCTTTGATGCTGTTTATAGCTAAAAATGACAAATAGGTTCCTTGACACATTTAATGACATGTGTTAGTATCTGTGTAGAACTTTACACTTAGACTTGTATTTCTTTCTTTTTTCTTTCTAGCCAAACATCATGTCAATGGCAACAGAACAGTTGAACCTTTCCCAGAGGGAACACAGATGGCTCTATTTGGTAAGGTATCAATTCTGAAAGAAACCCCAAATTGTATGCAAAGACTAGTGCCAAATTTCTTAGTTTTAGCAAGTGTCCTCAGGGCTTCAAAATCTGGGCTCTTCTAGATATTTACAAGTCATTGCAGCCAAGAAAACTATTGAGTTCTTAGTAATTTCTGGGATCAGAAAGGCTTATTCTATAGACTTGAGTATTCTTTCTTTTCTCACTTTGACAACCTAAATATCAAACTGTGTGTTAATATTTCTTACATCCATACTGTGAATTAACCTAACTTAGAGTTTGAGTTTTTCTCTACTAGGAGGATTTTTTTTTTCCCACATTGATATATGACCTTGTTAAAGACTGAGATTCAAGTAGTTTTGAGTTGTCAAAACTCCTCTAGCTTCCATCCTATTCTGGTGTTGATGGTAGTCTCCTGTAAGGGCTTTTGATTCAAAACTACTTTGAAGCATTAATATGTACTTGAACTGGAAAGGAACCCCAGGACAACCCTGTCACTAGATTAATGTATTCAGGATATGTGTTTCCTTAATCCTAGAGATGGAATCAGAATTAGTAATCAATGTTGATTTTGTTGTTGTTGCTGTTAGGTGCCCTCAAGTCGGGTCTGACTGATAGCAACTCTAGGTACAACAGAGTGAAACACTGCCCAGTCATGCACCATCCTCACATTCATTGTTATGCTTGAACCCATTGTTACAACCACTGTTAATCCATCTCCTGGAGCCTCTTCCTCTTTTTCGCTGACCCTCTACTCTTCCAAGCATGATGTCCTTCTCCAGGGACTGGTCCCTCCTGACAACATGTCCAAAATATGTGAGATGCAAGTCTAACCATCCTTTCTTCCAGTGAGCATTCTGGCTGTACTTCTTCCAAGACAGATTTGTTCATTCTTCTGGCAGTCCATGGAATATTCAGTATTCTTCTCCAACACCATAATTCAAAGGCATCAATTCTTCTTTGGTCTTCCTTATTGATCGTCCAGCTTTCACATGCATATGAAGTGATTGAAAACACCATGGCTTGAGTCAGGCACACTTTAGTTCTTAACATGACATCTTCGCTTTTTAACACTTTAAAGAGATCTTTTGTAGCAGATTTGCCCAAATGTAATACGTCGTTTGATTTCTTGCTTCCATGGGCGTTGATTGTGGATCCAAGTAAAATGAAGTCTTTAACGGCTGGAGAGTTATGCAAGAGGGACCTAATTCTACTTGGTTGTTTGTGAATCTTCCACTGTATGGGTTACCTTTTAAATATATTGATCTATGATTAGGAATTATTATGGTTAGAGATTTAATTGGAGAATTTGATTTTATGGAAAAAGACATAATGGACACCCCTAAAAGCATGCTAAAATGTTTGATTTGTTAACTCATCTGTGAGGAATTATGTTCAGATGACACCATTTTACCCAAATTGTAGGCCTAGGACAGTGTCTCTTACAATGGGGCAGTAATGTCAAATATTCAAGGTTCAAAGGGTTATTTTGATGATTTTGTTTTGTCTTTCAGATTTGTCAACCCCTAGACATGTTAGAAACTATGTTCTATGTCATACTGAGAAATATAAGATGAGGCTGACCTATCTTAGCAGGTTTCCCTCTGTTGTGATATTAGAGGAAAGCTTCCTTCCTGAAGGTCAAACTAGACCCATTACCAGACAGGCTGCTGACATTGTTTGGCCACAGAGTTGGAAACGTCAGTGAATAAAGTTCTGTGGTGATTTTTTTTTTTTGTTGTTCACAGGTTAGGTTTATAGTTGCTTTACTAAAAATCCTAACCCATTACCTCATTGTTTGACTTAGGGCAAGCAACTTCCTGTCTCTAAACCTCAGTCTTATTCACCTGTTGAATGAGAAGGCTAGATAGATGCCATAAGCTCTGAGACCTTTCCAGCTCTGAGTCTTTTGTTTCTGCCTCTTACATATTCAGGACCAAAGGCTCATCTGGCAATAATAGCCTCTGGCAAGCCCACTGTAGATGACCACCATGTGTAGTTTTAAAAGGGGTAAATCATATGCATAATTTCCATAAGTTAAGAATATATGTTGTTGTTGTGTGCTTTGAAGTTGATATCAACCTATAGCAACCCTATATGACAGAGTTGAACTACCCATAGGATTTCCTAGCTGTAATCTTTACAGGAGCAGATTGCCAGGTCTTTTCTCATGCTGAGTCGCTGGGTGGGTTCAAACCACTGACCTTTCAATTAGCAGCCAAATGCTTAACCATTGCGCCACCAGGGCTCTTTTAATGACAGAATTATGCTGATTGTAAAATAGAATCATCTTCTGACATCTAAGAATCTACAGTTTGTCTCTTCTAGATGCTTAAATTAAATTAAGTGTCTATTTTGGTTAAGTATATACAAGTATTTTATATTAGTGTTTTCAAAACTGTACTTGCTTTATATAACTTGACCACCTGATCTACAGTGGAATGAGGCAGCAGATGGTTTTTAGGGAGGGCTTCTTTCATTCTGGGTTGTTTGTAGCTTTATTGAAAAAGGCAAATTAAGCTTGGTGATTAGCCCTTTTACACATAGTGGGCTTTTAATTCTCCCAGTACTTTGTAAGGCTGATAGTATTATGTAATCCTCTTCTCAGAGAGGTCATGTAACTTACCTAAAGTCACACAGCAAGTGAGGTGGTAGAGCTAGAATTTGAACCCAAGTCTAACCGACCCTGAAGTCCATGCTTTTTTCACAATGTTACCCTACTCTCTTTTAGCATTGGTTGAATAAGTCCTGGAGAGCCTGGTAGATTTTAGAAATGCCTTTCCGCTGGATCCATGCACCTGTTTAAAAAATACCATTGCTGTTGAGCTGGTTCTGACTCATAGCAACCCTATAGGACAGAGCAGAACTGCCCCATAGGGTTTCTAAGGCTATAATCTTTATGAAAGCAGACTGCTACATCTATCTCCTGCAGAGAGGCTGGTGGGTTTGAACAGCACACCTTTCCATTAGCAGCTGAGTGCTTAACCACTGCACCACCAGGGCTCCTTGGATCCATTCACAAAGAGCATGATTTCCAGTCAAGCCAGTTTAGCAAATTGATTTGTAAACTTCTATGCATTCCCAGAGTGCTCTGAAGAACTCTTGACATGCAGTTTTGCTGGAAAAATACTGCTTGGAGTGACATCGTCTACTATTGACAGTTTTCCCTATTTGATTTTAGTTGTTGTTCTTGTTGTTAGGTGCCCTCAAGCTGGTTCTGACTCATAGCGACCCTATGTACCACAGAATGAAACACTGCCTGGTCCTGTGCCATCCTCACAATCTTTATTATGTTTGAGCCCATTGTTGCAGCCACTCTGTCAATCCATCTCATTGAGGGTGTTCCATTTTTCACTGACCTTCTACTTACCAAACACTATGTGCTTCTCCAGGGACTGGTCCCTCCTGATAACATGTCCAAAATAAGCGAGAAGAAGTCTTGTTGTCCTTGCTTCTAAGGAGCACTCTGGCTGTATTTATTCCAAGACAGACATGTTCGTTCTTCTGGCAGTCCATGGTATATTCAATATTCATCTCCAACACCATAATTTCAAAGGCATCAATTCTTCTTTGGTCTTCCTTATTCATTGTCCAGCTTTCGCATGAGTATGAGGCGATTTAAAACACTGTGGCTTGGTTCAGGTGCACCTTAGTCCTCAAAGTGACGTCTTTGCTTTTTAACACTTTAAAGAGGTCTTTTGCAGAAGATTTGCCGAATGGAATATGTCGTTTGATTTCTTAGCTGCTGTTTCCATGGGCATTGATTGTGGATCCAAGTAAAATGAAATCCTTCACAACTTCAATCTTTTCTCCATTTATCATGAAGTTGCTTTTTGGTCCAGTTGTGAGGGTTTTTGTTTTCTTTATGTTAAGCTGTAATCCAAACTGAAGGCTGTAGTCTTTGATCTTCATCAGTAAGTACTTTGAGTCCTCCTCGCTTTCAGCAAGCAAGGTTGTATCATCTGCATATTGCAGGTTGTTAATGAGTCTTCTTCCAGTCCTGATGCTGTGTTCTTCTTCATGTAGTCCAGCTTCTCAGATTATTTGCTCAGCATACAGACTGAATAAGTATGGTGAAAGGATACAACCCTGATGCACACCTTTCCTGACTTTAAACCACGCGGTATCCCCTTGATCTGTTCAAACCACTGCTTCTTGGTCTGTGTACAGGTTCTGCATGAGCATAATTAAGTGTTTTAGAATTCTTATTCTTCTCAATGTTATCCATAATTTTTTATAATCCACACAGTCGAATGCCTTTGCATAGTCAATAAAACACAGGTAAACATCTTTCTGGTATTCTCTGCTTTCAGCCAAGATCCATCTGACATCAGCAATGGATCCCTTGTTCTACATCCTCTTCTGAATCTGACTTCAATTTCTGGCAGTTCCCTGTTGCTGTATTGCTGCAACTGCTTTTGAATGATCTTCAGGAAAATTTTACTTGTGTGTAATATTGATGATATTGTTTGATAATTTCCGCATTCTGTTGGGTCACCTTTCTTTGGAATGGGCACAAATAGGGATTTCTTCCAGTCGGTTGGCCGGGTAGCTGTCTTCTAAATTTCTTGGCATAGACAAGTGATCACCTCCATCACTGCATCTGTTTGTTGCAAGATCTCAATTGATATTCCATCAATTCCTGGAGCCTTGTATTTCATTATTGCCTTCAGTGCAGCTTGGACTTCATCCTTCAGTACCATCAATTCTTGATCATATGCTACCTCCTGAAATGGTTGGTTGAATGTCGACTAATTCTTTCTGGGACAGTGACTCTGTGTATTCCTTCCATGTTTTGTTGATGCTTCCTGCGTCGTTCAGTATTTTCCCCATAGAAGCCTTCAATATTGCAACTTGAGGCTTGAATTTTTCCTCAGTTCTTTCAGCTTGAGAAGTGCTGGGCATGTTCTTCCCTTTTGGTTTTCTAACTCCACATCTTTGCATATTTCATTATAATTCTTGAGCTGTCAAGCTGTTAAGCTCTTTTACTTCATCGT